ATAAAAATTTGTGAAATTCATATTCTTATGATTGTGTGAAAGAAGATTAGTTTAGTAATATCTTTAATTGATCAATCATTGAAGATAATAAATTTATGATTCAGCTTCGACCATTCTAAAATTAGCTGTATCCACATTGATCGAAACTTTCCACACACGTTACACGCGTAACATTTACAAGTTTTAAAGTTAGGTTTAGGTTGGAAATTTGTCGAATGAAGCGCATTAAATTTTACGAGTAAATTTTAGAAATTAAGTTGAATAAGACGACGGATAAGAAAATGATAGATAGATAGGTAAAGAGATAATTTAGATAGATAGATAGAGAGATAATTTTATAAATATTATAAATTAAATTGAATGAAAATAGACGTCAAAAGAGAAAACTTCTGAAGATGATAGATAGATAGATCTCACGAGTTTTATAAATTAAATGAAATTTAGAAACAGACGAAACAGAAATAAAATGATAAAACTTTTGAAAGTGATGGAGCATCTTAATTTTGTTCTCGCGAAATATCTACCAGTGTAAGCGCAGACAATATTTCATTAGCAACCCCACTCAATCCCTAACCATAATCGACCAATATAAATCTGTTTTTCCCTGTTTAACGCAGAGTGAAAGCCGAGAAGAAACGATAACAACAAGCACCAGCGTGGTAACCTCGCCGAGCAAGGGTGGGATCAAGACGAAGAAGAAGAAGATCGAGGGTGTCGCCGGTAACGATGCTTCGCCGAACCTCACTCCCCGCACAAAAAAGACCAAGAAGAGCAAGAAGAACGAACTCGAGAAGGAGAACATCTCTGTGGTGAGTCGACACACACTGGAGCAGGTTCCTTAATTTTCTACAGGATCTTCACACCGTAAAAATTCACGTAGAAAAGCGACGCTTGAGGATTACTTTTGCAGTCTTAAACGATACAATTTTATGCAGACGTTGTCGTATATCAGTGAATTAGTTTTGTTTTCCATTCGTTTCGATTGTTACATTTAATTTCGTTCGTTCGCCTGAGAATGAGAAACGTGAATGAAACGCTTCTAAATTGAGATCTAATCATGTTTCTGAAGCTTATTTAAAAAAATATGCTGAAGACTTTATAAAAGCTACTCGAATTTATTATCAAAAATTTTCTAAAAGAAGATTTCTATA